ACCAGGTCAAACACGAGGTACTTAGCCAAAAAATTTTACACATCCCAAAAAATGGTACGTGACCAAAAACGGTTACATCAAAATGTTTCATGCATCTGACTGTTGAAGCAATTGAATTGCACAGTATAATCTAATACGAATCCCCAGTGGAAATACCAAGGCTTTTATTATACTTTAGGTTCATACAGAAGAAACAGTAAACCGGATAATTTACAACAATGCCATCACTGACCATTTTAAACACATCCCCAATAAAAACGGATGCACAATGTAGCGCACGCCCATGCAGAAATACAAAGAATATCTCCAACTTAGTAAATTCTCTCAGCTGTAGAGACCGGCCGTAAGAAGACAACAATGACTGTAATGTTATCTTTGCTTCCACGCTCAGCAGCTTCAGTTGCTAACCTCTTTGAACACATTCCTGGCTCTTTAACAGTGTCTCTGATTATTGACACGACATCCTCATTGCTCATCACATCCCAAAGCCCATCACTAGCCATTACCTGATTATACCAACCACACAAATATCAAATTGCTTATAGAACATGTGCGGCTCTTTCAAAAGCCTCTAATAAATTATTTGCTATAGCTTTGGAATTTTAGAGTATTCTGGTTAACCTGGCTGGCTATTATTAATTATATCATATGAAAACTAGGACACTCTCTCCCTTTAAGGTTATGACTCATGAGGATGGAACAGAATGACAAAATTGAACAATTTAAAACATGGGTTGAGTTAATGATGCATCTAAAAAAAAACTGAGTAGGCAGGTAGATATTTTCATAAAGGTAATCTGATTTTTTGGATCAGTCACTAGAATGCCACAAATCTTGCTGGCTCCACAAAATTCACCAAGATAGCATACATGGATGGATATGTACGCATGTACACACAACCTAATTTGATCATGTAAAATTAACTCTGAAGCAACCCATTTAATGACTAAAAGTGCCAAAGGAAAGCAACTAAATTTTGTTCAATAGTGACCAGTTAATTAAGCATCCAACATCCATCATTTTGTTAGGTTGGCGTGCTATAGTGGTTATCAGGCATGACTAGAAGTCATTTGGGCTTCCCCTGCAGGTTTGGATTCTGCCAGCAAATTCTTTCAGGCACTAAACAGAACAGAATGGCAAAGCAGGGTTCTTGTAGCCGACCCCATTTAGTTGGGAGTCTTGGGACATGGCTTATATGAAGATTGATTTTGTTGTAGAGTTGCTTGGCTTCTTACAGGTTTTGTGACATGGTCACAAACAGAAAGCACAATTAAATACTGTCCTAGAAGTTCTTTCAGATAATTGGGAACAATCAATATATATGTAGAAATAACTCTAAGCTAGTTCAGACTAGAACATAAATTACGAAATGCAATTACACTTTGCTCGATTACAATCAGGAAACAGAAGCTTGCCATTTTTCCATAAAACTGTCCATCTTCTAATATAATTTTGTTAAGTACCTAGGTAGAACCAACAAGAACTTAAGACTAGCAAAGAGAACTTCAAGTGATGGACGAAAAGACAGTTTTTTTTTCATAAATTGGTCATTACAGGTTCTTCCAGAAAATTTCAAATTTATTGATTAGAATTATATGCACTTAAAAGTATGCACCATTTATTCAGTGAGAATAAAGATTCGTTTAATTGGCAGTTAATAGTCCTTACCAGGTATTCATCTTCAGGTGACAAATTAATTTTGGTTATCTCAGGCTCTGCAGTAACAGCAGGCTTCAAATCATCATCACCAATTGAGCGTGTAACCTGTTAAAAGTGAAACACTAACACTATGAGAAAATATAATATGATTAAAACAAACCACTGGTAATTAATTTTGAAAGATCTGAAACTAAAGGGGCAACTGGACATAGCACACTAAAACTGGCCTTAGGTTATTTTCTTTAGAAAATAAAAGCAGTGGATCCTTGTTTTTCCACAAGGGGGAAATAGAGAAAAAAAGAATACCTTCTCAGACAGAATTTAATATAGAACACCGTGGAGAAGGATTGTATGTGCTCCAAGAAATGGAGTTTTAATTTCTTTATCTATATGTTATAAATAATTTGTCTCTCTGTCAAGGCCTGTCAAAGGGCTGGATAGACAGGCCTCTTGGTAACCACCCAGTAGAGGGCTTACACCACCACATGAGCCATAAAATTCTAAGTATAGTGACAGTGATCAAACCAAAGAGAAAAAGTCAGATTGGAGCCTCTTTTGACTTGTTTTCGGTAAAACAAGTCCAGAAGAAAATAAAATTAAAAAAAAAAGAAAGGAGAAGTAAAAGAAGAATTGCAGCCTTTTTATAACAGTTCACAGCTTCCAAGGTGCTCTGATACCATGATACAATCCTTGACTTTCAGACCTGAGAGTAGAAAAGAATGAAAGAAGCAAGGGAGAGAAGAAGAGAAGAAGAATAAAGAAGGCCCATGGGGTAAAAAACCATCACCTACTCTGTCCCAGTCAGCTGCTTTACATAGCTTTCTAAATATGTTACAGTCACTCTTATGCCCCCATTAAGTATGGGACACCCTACTTAACACAGGAATCAATTACTCTTATGCCCCCATTTAAGTACAAGTGACTCTTAAGTTGGTACATAACAGGAATCAATAAGCTCCAAATTTTGTGCAAGTTTTATATTTTACTAAAAAAAATATTGTGCAAGTTTCTGCAGTCCTTATCAAACTTAAGTAAGCATACACTTTTTCCTGTCAAGCAAACACATCATTTTTAGAAATTTAATGATCAAGCAAAAAAGGATTACTTACGTTGAAAAGGCAAAACAGGATTCATGTAGCCAACCCCATATAGTTGGGAGAAGGCTTGGATGATGATGATGATGAAACAATGATCAAGCAAAACTTACATAGAAGAAAAGGAATCAGGGAACACCTTTGGTTAACTATTTTACAAAAAAAAATGGTACCACTCAATGTTGGTCTCGGCCATCTGGGACTTGAGCCTACCAAGATATTATATATTTATACCCAATGGCAAATTCTATGGATACAGTTGACATGGTATATTCCACAAAGGTAGAGATAAAAACCTGCAGAGCAGCTGGACCAACTCTCCATGTATCCACTTGCCATTTGACTTGCCCCCCAGCACTGATGACACGTTCTCTCTCCTCAAGACTGCTTGCAATGTGATCCTATTTTAAAAAGTTATCCAGTTCACCCACAGAATAGTTCAAAATTTAGAGCTTAGTCATGCTATACAAAATATACAAGTAAAGAGTCACTTGTACACTGTTGAAATTGAAATGTGATGGAAGCACCCTATTTTGTAAATTTTGTATAAAGCTTGTATATTTTGTATAAAGCGCAATTGAAATGGGGCTGCAATTTCACATTGCAAGCTTTGTATATTTTGTAAATTTTGTACAAGTTTTGGTTGGTAAACTAGGTTTACTTGCACAAGTAAAGATTGGCTGTGCAAGTTTTATACAAAATATACAAGTAAAGAGTCACTTGTACAAGTTTTATATTAAATCGATAAACATCTTCCAAGAGGTAAAAAAACCTAGGGTCTAGGGCTGAGGGTGGCATGTCC